CAATTATCTCAGTTTGTACAATAAATTATTTGCTCAACCATCTATAAAAGTTATTCAGGGTAACTGTGTCTGACCTCGAGTAGTTAGGTTGATAGGGACGTGGTATTGGAAAGACACCCAGTCATCCACAGAAGATCTGATGACACTGAATTGTGTGTGAGGGAACCCCTGGCAGAAAGTGCAATATGTACCATCTTCCTGTTGCTTCATCACCTTGAAACCAGAGGGCAGAAATTCACAAACTAAGCTCCCAGATCCATAAGCCCTGACCTCTTACTGGAACTGTAGGCTCACACCCTGATACTTCAGCAAGAAGGAGAAACGATAAAATCTGAAGCCCACAGCTGGTGCTGGTAGGAAGAATGCTCACTCATGTCTACCGAGCCTAGAATGAGGAGCTCTAAGACTTTCTCTAAAATTAGCATAGGCTGCCTGAGGGACCAGGATGGCATGCAGGGCTGAGCCAGAGTTAAAACTGTGTCACATTCTTCAAGTGCCTTCCATCCCATTTTCTGCACTCTCCTTCATGGGCCTTCAGAGGTCTGAATTTCCCCAGTGACCACACCTCTCAGATCATTCCCTTCCTGCAGTGCTGAAAGACTGTCACCTTACTTAATCAAAACCTCCTTGCCTTTAGAGCAGCTGATTTGATCTGTTATGATAACATTAATAATAAAAGTAACTACCAAGTAAAATTGATTGAACATATAGGCATATGCAGATGAAAATAATTATCATCACTTCACACATCTCATGTCCTTTTAAATAACAGATGATTAAGCCTCAAAACTGGTATCTTGTTATTGAAGTAGTCTCACTTCTGATTGCTATTGTTGCTTTAACCACATCTCCTAAAGTTCTCCAGTTGACTTATCCATCCATCTCTACATACCTACAGATATAGTTCACCTACAAAATTGTTCTTGTGGTTTAAAGAGTAGAGAACTTTATCTTCATCTTGTTTTTCTTTTCACTATAGAAAAAAATGTACTTCAACAAAAAACTGTATGTTGCCTAAAAGATCACTCTCTAGGTCATCTGTATCTGTCTCTAGGTTATCTGGCTCTAGTCTTTGATGGTCTTTGAAATATTTTATAACAATGCATTGCCTACATTAAGCACAACCTCCACTGCCCATTGTCTTTGAGCTTTTTTTATTATATTGGTCCTTTGAATTCTCTTTTGAAGGAGTTACAACATCCGGTTGGTCTCCTCACTGAATGAATTAATACAGTCTTTAACATGTGTTCATTTTTATATCTGCATGTGAGTCATAATTTTTTGATAGTCTGAAAATTATCTTTAATGGCACAGACCTTTCCAAGTCCTCATTAATCATTGTAGTATTTATACATCAACTTGATGGTTTGTAATATTAACAGCTACAATGTTTTGAGTTTGTTTAATATTAAGCTTTGTAATTAAATCTGATGTTTTAAAGAGGTTTATTACATTCTTATAATACCATATTATCAGGCCATATCATAATTAGGTTAAAAATTTTTTTTTAAATCTGACCCTACCAGTAGGTTCATATTGCTGAATATTACCTCTCAGATAGATATTATTGCATTATTACTCATAATACTATAAGCTTGAAAATGATGGGCCAATGAATAAATTTCCAAGCTTCTAAAACTCAGTCCGTAAGGATAGGATTTGACTAGTGGCTATGCGATCTGAAGAGATTCTGAGAAGCAACTCTGGAGGAAGCATCTCTCTTTCTCTCTGGTTCCAGAAAGAACAAGTCTTGGATTAAGACATGATGTCATCTGCCATCTTACATCAACATCAAGTGATGTATTAGTTTTAAAGTTTTATCTCTAGCCCAGAGGGACAGTCAGCATGTAGTACATTCCAGAACTCCATCTGTTTCTGCCACTCTTGTTCTGAGCCCTCTGGATGCAATACAGCACCACATGAATGATTTCTCATTGGCTCCAAGCATTCAGCAATATGTCTTTTAAGGTCCTTGGGGGGAAAAAAAAGACTGAATCCCTTTCCTAACATTCATTTTCTATTTGCAGTTTTCCTTAGTTCAGAGTCAGCCTTCTCTGCTCCCTCACTCCTAAATAAGAGAGTGAGAATTTGCTTAGTACTGCTGAGTTGATGACTTTCATGGTCATCATTGCCCAGAGTGTCCCCTCGCTCCAGCCAAAGTTCTTAATCAGATTCCCTTCTGAAGCTGTCCTGTATCTTTGTAATAGACATTGTATTATTCATTGGAAAGGTTCAATGACCTTAGTATGGAAAGAGATGTTCATCTTAGATACATTCTAAAATTTAGTCAGCAAACATAACCAACCACCATTCACTCCCTATAGCATCCATGTCATGATTTTTAGTTTCTTATATAAAAGCTTCTGTCACTCAGATTTCTAGTATTTGTCACTGCTGGTGCCATTTAGGGCTGGAAATTCTAGTATGTGATTAGAGAATTGGTCTCGCAGTGACAAGCCCCAACAGATGAACACTTTTAGCCTGCAGTCTCTTTCCTAGGCTCTGAGTTCCCCTGCAGTGGCCTAGGACAGATAATTTACTAAACCAAATATGCAGTTCATCAACATGCCAGCCTCAGTCAAGTAAAGAAGCAGACAACAATTGACCACATAAATCCCTATAAACAGAAAGGGGGAAGGAGATTTTACCACATCTTTCTCGAGTAATACCAGAAATAGACATACCTGTTCCAAAAGATGAGCTAGCAGGTGCTGCTTGTTCTAGAGGCATGCAGAACCCATCATCCAATCTCTTCCCTTGCCAAATTATATTGAAATACAGAAGAAACGTAGAAGTTAAATTCATAGCATTGTTTGGTCTTATTTTTAAAAGTAACAACACTGGTTTTTCTAGTAGGAGTTGCAAAAAAAACCCACCTCATTTTGAATCAAAGGAAGCTAGAAGCAATGCCAAGATATTAAGATGTTAGCATAAAGGGAAAAGGAGCAAGAGAGAGAAAGCACAGACAGGATGAAGGCAGCTTACAAGTACCACATCTGCCATGTTGTCCTGGGCCCTAGTGACTCTTCTTCTGCCAGTGCCCGCTGTTCTAAAGCATCATGCTGAGACTGTGAGAATCTCTCTCCTTACTACTATACACTAAAATCCCCATACTTTAGTACAACCCCAAAAAGGTGCTGCCTAGTGCGCAAAGGGCTCTGAGTCAGTTATATGCCAGCCCCTTCAGAGATGCTTGGAAGATGACAACTTCCCATGAGGTCGATAGTAGGAGGCTTCACATTGCGAGAACACTGATAACTTTATGGACAGCAATGAAAATTATTACCTGTTTCTCGCCATAGAGTAAGTCAGACATATGATGAATACCTAAAATTTCTTGCAAAGTTTTAATTTATTCTTGATTTATTATTCGTATCTTTAGACTAATAGAACTTATTGTTCATTTATCATATAAAATTGGGTTCCACTTTTATTTCTTCTGCATAGAAATTTAATGCCTACACAATGCCTTTAACAATTCACCATGAAGACTGAAGTTCTGTATTCTCTAGTTTCACTGCTTACCTTTGTCAATTCCAGACTGAACCAAAACTGATTTGATTATGTGACTTTGTAGCGTAGAACAATTCTAAAAAGCATTAAAGAGTTTCAGAAATTTATTACTCAGCAGCTGTTATATGTTAACATGTAGTCAAACCCAATTTGTGAGAAACTATCAAAGTTATACCTATAATTTTATAATAATATTGGGTAATTTGGATAACACTGTTTCAAAACTGGGCAACATTGTACAGAATGCCAAATCCTGGTCGTGGAAGATAGTCATTGATAAAGATAGTGACCAAGAGATGGTGTGAGGGGCATCTATATCCTGTTAGAAAATGAAGTTGCAATAATATCCTGCAGCTGTAGGGACAAACCACTCCATCAACATGTCCAGATATATGTCCATTATTGTGTTTTGCATATCTGAATAAAATCATATCTGAATAAAATCATGTACCAAAAACTAGTGTGCATAATGTAGCAAAAGGTGTGAAATTTCACATTCGCTTACATGTTTAATTGGAGGAGGTTGATTTCACAGTGCTCCAGAAGTGGGTATTATAAAGATTTACTTTTCCATTTAGCCTCATGCTGAACATGAGGTCACCTGCAAAGCCATCTTCATTTCCCGTATGACTCTAAAATTGTGTTAGTTCATATTATTTGCTTCCCTCAAAGCTAAGAACTAGTAAAAGTAGTGACATTACATCTCTAGGCATATGAAGAATGCACATAGACCACAGCTTGTTCTATCTGTACACTTCCTGGGATTTCACTGAATGTTAACATGAATGTAATTCACAACTTTCTCAGCCATATATGGCAGTCTTGTGCTTTGTCTTTGAGAGACCTGCTTTTTCTGGTCCATCTGTTTATACCAGCATAGAAAATGTCAAACACAACTTATATAAAAGCTGTAACAGTGCATTTACACAAACAAATTTAGAAAAATGCACAATTTGGTACATGCATGTTTATATATAATCTAGTTACAGAATAGTTTAGTTTTTGAATGTGTTTAGTTCTTTTCTAATCATCCTGGATGCTGGAGTCCTCTTAAAGTTCCAATCTCACTGTTCTTCCACAGTTTTTTTCGGAGGAGTTATTTTGAACATTTACTTTTCCCTATAAGCTTTAAGACTCTCTTATTGAACACTAAAACGACAAAAACAAAAAAGCAATACTATGGATTGAACATAAATTTCAGTACATGCATATTAATCTGGAAAAATAAACTTTTTACAATAGTTTCTTTCTATTCAAGAACATTTAATACCTTTATATCTAATTTTTTATCCTTCAAAGTTTTGTGAATGAATCAATGAAAAATTATATGCAATAATGCTGCAATTAGTTTAAAGAATTTTCTTAGTGGATAATGTTTATAAAACAAATCTTGAACATAAACTGCCTTCTCATTTGATTTGAGTGATTAATGATTAATTCAGGCAAATAAATTTTTGCCAAGCCTGGTTTAAGATGACATCTTTGACTAATGTCTTTCTCTTTTATAAATGAAACTAGAAAATTGTTAAATAGGACGTTATATTCTCACATTACATACAATGGGGCAACTAATAGCAAAGAAAACATATTCATCAACACTTTTGGAATGTAATAGCACAGTGTTTGAATTTCAGAGAAGAGCCTAATTTGCTGAAATGTGCTGAAAGATTAGTGAACAAATTATGTATTCAGAGAACGCAAAAGCAACTAATCAAGCTACCAAAATGATCCCAAAAATGTGTTTTGGGATCAGATTATCAATCAAACTAACAAAACACAATTAGATTTATATAGCAACACATTTACTCAGCTTTAGGAAATACACAGAACAGGGAAAACAGCACCACGAAAAAAGCAACATCACAGGGACCTCAGAAAATTAGATGCAGCTTATGATGTCCTTTAACAGGAATACATTTTAGTCATGAGGTTCATGTGGAATAATGTGAGTGTGGGCCCTATCATCATAGGAAAGTCAACAGATCCAGAGACCATCAGCTTAAATATCTTTTTAGTTATGTCACTCTTGTGAGGATAAATGATTCACTCCAGAAATTCAAAGTAATAAAATAAATAATTCTCACTGCCATGTACAATTGGTGAGGGAATTTCTTGTATAAATAATCAGTACATAGAAATCAATACAGTAACTCATCTACCATCAGGGCTGCTATTTCTAAAAGTTTGATTAAGGGTCAAACATTTAGGCTTTTGGAAGGATTTGCAGTTCAGATGTTAGTCTTTCCTTCTACAGGCAAAGAAGTCTACCAATACGTCTGAAAGAAGACTTTGTATATTAAGTGAATGAGGAAAAATGTAATAACTTATGTAGAGTGGATAAAATTAACTTTTGGAGCACAAGTTGAAAAAAAGAAAAAAAAAAGGCTTGAATATAAGTTGGGTTCCCTGGCCCCATCTAAATGCCATTGCAATTTTCCTGTCTTAAAATTTTTGCTCAGCATTACCATTCCTGTCACTGCCTGAAAAGGATAGTGCCTATTTTGCTTATAATCATACTTCCCTTTATACTTTACTATTATTGGTGAATATTTAAAATTTATCAAACAGAATAAGTGAAATTTAGTGGGATTAATACAGTGAAAGTTCTTCATTTAAACAAGATCTAAGATTAGGGAAATTAATTTGTTCAAAGATGCACAGTAACCTTTGCTCTGATTTAAACTTAGGTTTATCCAAAACTAAAATCACTATTCTGTCCCTTAAACTCACAAATTTCAAAATAACCTTTGGACTACAATACTAAGTGACTAGCTAACTGCATGTATGATTTATAGATTTTCTTCTAGCCAATTAATATACTTATCTTTTATTCTAATACCTAGTTGTAAATAAACTGGTAATGTCATGAATGATAAAGCTCCATGGACTCCATCCTCTATATGGTCATGAGAAACTTTAACTCCGGCATTTCGAAGTCGTGAGACATATATAAGTCCATCATCTCTTAGGATATCATGTTGACAGGTGACAACATAAGTTAATGGCAAATTTTGTAACTGGGAATCATTGGTTGCCAAAGGTGATAACCTATTATCCAAAAGTATTGAAAACGAAGTGTTAAGTCTCCCCAAAACTGGTTCAGTATATACATGCTGCTTTCTGTATTTCTCAGGAAGGAAGGTACTCCAGTTAACCAACTTGAACAGATGTCCTGATCCATGAGGCATGTGTTGGTTTTTTCTTATTGCCTGGCTCAGTGCTTTATCGTTGGTCAAATAGAGGCATCCGAGTTCAATTGCCATGTTCCTTGACAGAACTGGTCCATGCTCATATTCTTGGTGAGATGGCATAGAGATATCAACTAGTTGTAAACCAGGGTAAATTAAAGCTTGTGCCTTAAATTTATTTTTGAATTCTGGATCATTTTGTATCTGAAAAAATGTATAATAAAGTATGAATGAGTCAGAGGCCTCCAAACTACGATAGGGGGAAGCTTTACTCCAATCATATCAGCAGTTATGATGTAAATAATTATAAAAATGATATAGTACCTAATGTTTATTTTGACAGTATTTGTACTTTAAGGGCATTGAAATGTGTCATCCTACTTTCATCAGTAATGATTCACACATACCTACACACACATGTTTATTCACATATGACCACCAAATAAAAATACAATTACCAGATTCCTAGGGAAGATGACAAGCTCTCTGTATTAAATCATTTTTGAACTAAAGTAACGTTAGTGAGAAGAAAGAATGAGTATAATAATAAAATACCAATGCCCAAACTCACATATTAACTAGACTCAACAGGCACTGAGCCAAGTTAAAGGAAGTATTCCTAATATACAACTCACCTTCTGGAGAAAATAGTGTAATATGATGGGAAATATAACAGTAATAGCAATTTATGAAAATGTGAAGGGCAAGAAAAGACATGGAGCGTTGTAGCTGGAGCTTCTCTTTCTTACTAGAGATAAGAGGCATCCTAAGATCTCAGGTATCGGGTGAAAAGAGCCGCCATACATTTCCCTTTCCTTTTCTTTTACTCTTCCACTCTACAGGAGAAAACCTTTGATTAAATCCCTGAGGAGCAATTCCCTGAGCCGCAGACCAACATCTGCAACAGTGACATCTGGACAAGTCAATATACCTGCTGCCACTCCTTGATTACTCCCCAGTGCCCTCAGACAGGCTAAACCAACTGGATCACCTCACAGACTGGGTGGAAGAAACAGCAGTCAACACATAAACAAAAAGAGGCAGAGAGAATCAACCAATACCTTCTCAGGCTAGCAGCAGAAGTGATCCCACAAGATGAGTTAGCAGATCCTGCTAGTTGTAAAGGTATGTATCCCTCTGCTTATGATACATTTGCTCCATAAAAAATGGTTTGGGGGGTAAGAATTTTCTATTGGACTGAGTTCATTTTTCAAATATAATAATTAATTGGGCAGTTATTATTTAACTGCACACAACAAGGGTTTTAACGTAGGCCATTTTTTCTTTTTTATTACAATAGTGATTCCCCCATGCAAGCATGACATATGGCCAAACGGTATCTGCTGACACTCTCCTCGATTGAAAACATGAACTCCAGTAATCCCAAGTGCTTGGCAGACTTTATGCTTTACCCAAGGAGAACGACAAATCCCTTGTCATGTTAAATAGTAGCTCCTAGACACTCTTCTGTTTTTCTCAAAATTGGTGGCAAAATAAGAGCCTTATTTAACATGATATTTTGTTTCTCCCCATGCCTCTAAAACCGCTTCTGTCTAAAGATAAAATTATGTAAAAGGACAGAAGAGGTTTGTTTTTGGTTTGTTTTTGCCATTTAACAGTTTAAAATATAAGGCCAATAAAAATATTCTAACAAATAAAATGATTCTTTTCTGTTAGAATTACAGCATGTGTGTATGTGTTATAAACACATATAATACATAAAACATACCTGTTGAACCACTCCTGCTGCCAGTGTACCCCCAGAACTATCACCTGAAATACAGATTCGGGTGGGATCCACTCCATATTCTGCAAGAGTTTTATCCTCTAGAAAGAATTTGACCACAGAAATGACATCTTCATAGGGAGTAGGAAACTGATATTGAGGAGCTAGTCTGTAGCTTCAGGGAAAAAAAAAAGAAAGAGAGAGAAAGAAAGAAAGCAACAAAGCACATACGATTAAACTTCAGTTGCATATATCCAACTATCTCTCAATTTAACCAGCAGGTCCAGAGAACAAAATTGGCCCTACTTTGAATCTTTAATTTCACCAATCATACCTGGACTTACTACTAACATATCTTTTTAAAATAAAAAATAGATTCTGGTGTAAAGTTTTTTAAATAATGGGTTCTATGGGGAGATACAAAAGATAAGGATTATGTCTTCATCTTCGTAAAACTGTATAAATTTGTCAGCAAAAGTGCAATCAGTTGGGGAGATGCACTGTAGCATTTATCAGGTTCTCAATGTAGTCAGTGACAAATATTTTCACAACTATTGTTGGGAGTGCACACGAAATTTTAAAAGCAGCAAATCTGAGAGCAAGTGACTTGTAGGTTTCTTATATTAGAAATTTATTTAGGTAAAAATTCCATAAGATAGCATGTCCTGTTTTATATCATAACCTGAATGAATACATAAAGATGAGTTTACATATGACCTGCAAACAATTCAAAAGAGAAGCTTTGAAACAAATATTTAAGTATAGTAAGTGATATTGCTTAACAGCTGTAAAGTCATTTGTAAAGCAAATTATTACAGCATCCATTAATGTGTATAATATGTATATACCTCTATATTTTTTCTTCTAATGTGGGAGCACACTATTGGGTTGTCTTATTTTTTATTTCTACCTATACTAGTAATCTCACTATCCATAAGAATTGGTGAATTAATAAGGTCAAAACTAACCATTAAATGCTGGCCAGATGGCCCTTGCAATTCTGTCATATTATAATCTGTATCTAAAATATCTGAAATATAGTATAACTAAACAAAATACTATATCAAAATGTAACTGTTACTTTAAATGTTCTTCAGAGTAGAAAAAAACAACAAATACTATAAGTAACTGATGGAATTCTTAAACTAGGTACAGCACATATCACCATTTAAAAAGTATATTTAAAATAACAAAGTGGTATGTTAGGTTAAAAATATTATAGCGGGAAAGGGAGAACATCCTAATTATTATGAATTAGAAATATCTCTGAAAACACACAGTCTTCTGGTTGCTCTACGGTAGAAATAACGGGGAGGACAGCACTTAGTTCCACCTGTGTGTTCTGTTTACTCCCCTTAGGTTCTCACCAGGAAATTCCACTAATATTCTTGCTTCAGCATTGGGCTAGGAGTCTCTGAGTACATTTCTGTACTACATAACTGATAGGAGAAGTGGGAAAAAAATCCTCATCCTGCGTATGAAGTACAGAGAACCCCTGAATAGGTCAGAAAGTACTGGCCATTTGTTAGCCGTTTTGGTATACTGATGGAAATTTGGGCAGAAATCATGAGCAAGTAAGTTCTTTCATTTTGAGAATGACTTAAAATTCTTAGATGGTCCCAACATTTGCAGCTGATGTTCCTCCAATTAAGAACAGCTATATATTCATAGCATGTAATAACCTACAATGAGAAAGAATCTGAAAAGGAATGTATATATCTATGTATAACTGAACCACTTTGCTGTACCCCTGAAACTAACACAATATTGTAAATTGACTATAGTTCAATTTTTTTAAAAGTATCTATCAAATTAATCTTTTATTACCAGCTCAAACAAAACTCAACATCCCAAACGTGTAACAGGTAACTGAGCACCTAGGCTCTCCTAGAATTACCACAGCTATGTTTCCAAAGATGTTCTGTGATGCCTCTCAGAGGTCTCTATAATGACTGAGGTTAAAGAGAAGCTAGGCCCCTTTGAGGAGGAGTGAAAATATGGTACTAATAAAAGATGCTAATGTCAAAAATCTCAAACTCTAGAATCCCAGTCCTCTGGGAGGCTTGGGCACCTTCTTTGGAAATCAGACTTCTGTGTTACAAGGGCAAGAATCAGAATATGAAAAATACAAAATGTCATTCTCTTACTCCACTCCCACAACAACAGCATCAAGTTTGTTTGCCGTCAGTCTGTTCAGGAGGTCCAATGGTGCCTGCCCTGAAATGAAAAAGTTAATATCAAAGTGTACCTTATGAATAAAGAGCAATGGAAAACCACTTACAGGTGTGAAATGTAATACACCTGAAATAAGAATTGAGAGACGAATAGGGTATAAAGTGGAACCACGCAGGAAATAGGAATACAGGTGTCAGTACTTGGGTACTACACTAGGGATTTCTTTGTAAACAGGTGGCAGAGGTTACCAAAGAATTTAGTTATGTCATATGACCAGATTTGCATACAACAAAAGGGAAATCAGAAAAAGGCTGACATAGACAAGGAAATGGTGGTGAACAAGCAAAGAAAAAGCCATACAAGTGTCGACTGAAATAAAAATCACACAATGTTGAGAGTTGTGGGCTAAGTTTTATTTGGGGCAAAATGAGGACTACAGCCAAGGAGACAGCATCCCAGAAAGCTCTGAGAAACTGTTTCAAAGAGGCAGGAGGACAACTCCGTATTATACATGACTCCAGTGAAGAGGGGCACGTGCAGTCAAGCACACGTTTAGGCGGAGGCTTGCTGCTAGTCATGAGGAGCAGACGTCACCATTAATGATTTTAGTGCTTTTCTAGATATGAGGAGACGCAAGAATTGGGGTCATTAAATCTTCTAAAAATATCTAGCCATCTGAAGTCCTGTTCAGCCAGTTTTCCCATAGCACAGAACACCTCCTTCCTGACCTCCACTCTGTACTGCTTTCAGGGAGTGTTGGAGATCAGGCGCCACAGCTGCTGGTGATTTAATCCAAGTAGAGTTAGATGGCAAGTGCCAGCGTGATCCAATCTTTGTAGAGACAGATGGCAAGTGCCAATTTTTAGTAAGCAGAAGGAAATCTAATGGCAAATAATTTTGTTAAATGTGGACAGAAAGAAAAAAAATGTTAGAAAGGTAGACAGAACTGGTAATTAAATGCGGATGCTGAGAGACATTTACTGTATTTACTGATAGAACACACATGAGGAGCATTTGCTTTCCTTGTTTTGTTGAAGTTGTTGTTATTGTTGTTTATTTGGGTTTCTTTTTTTCTCAAACTGTTGGAAGGTAGATGGGATAAGTTGTATTTTGGTCATGTTAAACTTGAATTATCTGTGGTTCCTCCAGATGTACTGGCATATGCTGCATTTGTATATATTGATCTGTAATTTAGGACTATTGTTATAGCTGGAAATACAGCTTTGGAAGTCAGCAGCAGAGTCTTGTGGGGGATGGGTAAGGTTGAAAAGTATAAGGGACTAAATAAAAGAGCATGCAGAGTCAAAAACTAAAGAAAGGAAAACTGTGAAACATGAACACTTATAAAGTGTAAAGACAGACCTGTTTTTCTGTGTTTGTATTGTTTTGCTGTAAAGAGGGAAAAACACAGGAAGGTAAGAGGGAGAGGCAAAAGAAAGTTGAAAGAAATTTGTTTCAGAGAAATCAAGGGAACAGAGAGTTTCAGTGATGCAGAGGGAAGTGGTCATTTTCCAGTTACAGAGTTTAAAGAATTATTCAAAATGGGAAAAGATTTCACTGTGTATAAAAATGAGCCTTAGAAAGAGGACTACCTAGAGAGAGAGATTTGGGAACAAGGGAGATCAAGGCTGAAAAAGTTGTAACATGTTTAGGTGTCAATAGAGAGGCACATTTGTAGATAGATGAATGAATGAGAAATAATGACAAAACCAAACCATAGGAGTAAATACGGTTGCAGGCAAAACAGAGATTGAACTCTGCCATAAGACAAAAATGCATTTTTCTAGGACATAAGTAGAAAGAAGTAAAATTAAGGATTAAAATAATGTTAATGATTTTTAAGGACGCAAGAGGCAGGCGAGGGGTGGCGGCCAGGCTGTGTTGGGGAGGAGTGAAGTGGTGCTGAATTATGGACAGACATCCTTGGTAGCTGAGGAAGGATGAGCTGAGAGACTTGAAAGAGCTCTGAAGGTTTGAAAGTGTCATTGATGTGAAGGAGAGAAACTACACACAAACAAGGAACAGCGTCTTCCAGCCACCTTGAGAGTAGGATAGGACTGCTCTCCAGTGTTGTGAGGGTTAAGCCTGTGGATCTTGTTGACACGCTTAGGTTTGGCTACTCTTTCCACCACTTACTAATATAGGACTTTGAACAAGTTACTGAACCATTCTGCATCTACCTTTTTATCCTTAAAATTGTGATAATAACACCCATCCTAAGAATGTGCTTACCTATCAAAATGAAAGGTGACCACTCAGCTGACTATAGTGGCATTTGTGGTTGTTTTGAAACGTTAACAGATCATGGAGTCAAAATTCTGGATATAATGATTCGAGCTATAGGTTCTTTGAGGAAAGGAGTCCTCATTTGCTTCTTACATCATCTGAGTACGTATAATATCCCTTGTACTCTGTGCTTTGTGGTGAGTCAATAATATGAAGTCTAAAGTCAATTGTGTATATGTGTATGTGAGTGTGTGTGTATGTTTGAATGTGTGTGTGTGAATGTATGTAAGTGTGTAAGTATCTTAGCTACACCATTGCACCTCTTAGAATGATCTCCAAAATAACATGGGAACAGACTTTAAGGGAGGAGCTGATAGTTCTATTTTATTTTTTCATTTTAAGTTCAAACTTATGCATTGGATTCTAAGCCTCGACATGGTAAGTATTGATGCCTCACTGTCTGCAATATGAACATGTATATGGAACTTAGAAGCTGCAAATAATATCACTTCTAATTCAACATTTAAATCATCTTATTCACTTCTGTTTTTCTGAACCTAAATTCAGGTCATTTGGTAATTTCAAACTTAAGTTTTAAGTTTACTACTTGAACCTCCCATTTTATTTTACACTGTCAATATAACTTTATTTGATAATAAGACTTTTTAAAAATCAAAAATGTCACCTACTATTTTTATGATTTATTTAAATAAATATTTATGTATGAATCATACATATTTATCTCAAATAAATAATCTCTCTGCTAAGATACATACACATACTTAAGAAACATAAATACCAACATTCTACCGATTATATATACTATATTTTAACATAAATACATACAATATGCAATACACACAAACACATATATGCATGAACATTTGCTTACATAAAATGCACTTACTACAACTTCCCAAAACAAAGGCACCACCATGGATAAAAATTACAGCTGGCCTCTGTCTTTCTGACTTCCTCTTTGGCAAGTACAGACGTACTGGGATATCAGTAAAGGTTGTATCCATCACTGTAACGTTTTCATCTGAAATTGGCTGTGTGTAGTCCAGTTTTACTAATGTGGAAAACAATTTTTCATATCCCATAAGACCTATATTTTCGAATAACATAGCCTGTCCAAACAAAACAAAAAAATTAAAAATTTCAATTTTTAGTAACATCAAATGCATATAAATATGCAATCAAAAAGAATAAATAATATAATGATAATCTAGATGTCTTTCTGTACATCCTAACATAGGTATTATTCCTGCTTCTAAATAAACCTCAAGTATACAGTGTTTTAAATAAGAAAAGTCTTATTTAAATGGCATCAATTTACTGGCAGCTTATTTTACATTGGTCTTCTTATTTCTTAATTGTAAACTTTTATGTGAAAAAGTATCTAATAAGGTTCTATACTTCTTTATATGCATATTCTCTATTTCATTTTATTTTATTGGTCATTCAATTTATTTAAAATTTCAGAAAGCATATAGTTATCACATTACTAATAAAGCTTTTCCCATTTTTTGAACTACAAATATGTTCCTTTTTTGTTAAAAACACTTGGGGAAAAAACCCATTATTTTAAAATTTTGTGCCATTGAAATAAAGCTCTCTTTAGTATTTTTGGTAAGTTTTCTAAAATCTTTGTAACATTTCACTGAATGGTTCACAGTAAAGGAATCTTGAAATCTTGTGAGGGAAAGGAACATTCTATAAAATTTATTATTATAGCCATCTGAGGTTGCTAAAATTTTACAAGGTTTTACAAAATTTTAAAATTTTACAATATAACCCATCTGCTTTAATGATGAGTATACAGAGACCTGGAAAGTAGAAGTTACTGACCAAAGTTAGACAGCTAGCAGTTGGGAAGATGTAAACCCATTTTTCTTGGCTAATGTTGCATGTACTACATATGCTCCTCTACATATAATTAATTACTAAATTATGTTTTTTAAAACAACATATAAGAAATAGAAGGAAAGCAAGGTTATTAAGAGCTAGCACAATCAGAAAAGGTTCTATGATAGGAAGAATTGGGCTTTAAACTTAAAAAATGACAGTTACATAGGGAATAATGAATGAATGATAAGTGACATGCTGATTGACATGGTACAGCCTCAAAGCAGCCATTTTTGACGCATAAACACTGTTAAGTAGCTTTAAGGTACCATTAAGATTTTAACTAAAGGGGGCAGGGAAATAGCTCAGTGGTAGGGTGCATGCTTAGCATGCATGTGGTCCTGGGTCCAATCCCCAGTACTTCCATTAAAAAAAAACTTCAACTAAAAACACACATACATAGGAAAAAATTATGTATATTTATAGAAATATCAACTTAAAACACACATATATAAAGCATTTGTATGCAAAATTTGTAAAGCACATAGCCACATCCTACCCCTAAAATACACTTATCTTTGAACCTTGAAAATAAGCTCAATCAGAGAGAGAATATAAAATTCTGAGCTGTAGATATCTGTTGCCTTTAGAAGCTAAGCAGACATGAAAACTCTTCTTTCGGTAACAGTTTCTTAGTTTACTTTAGGGAAATATCACCTCTCATTAGTTGAAATCTTTGATTGGCAAGTTGATCAAGGGAACAATCACTCATTAGTCAAGATATAAGTAAATTTAAGGTAGACTTAGTGTACTCTCCCTGGAAATTGATTATTAAACAGAGACAAAAAGAATGGGAACAGTTAGCGATGAATTATCACCACAGTGGCATTCTGCAGAGATTTATTCTTAGATGCTGACTCCTCTGGTGCTGCTGACTTCACTGAAGATTAGAATTTCGATTTTCTTCCAAATCTATGAGCTTCCAACATCTTATAAAAATTTCTCATTTGATTATTATTATTATCATAGTGATTATTAGCATTTCTTTAAATTAGCCATAGTCACATACCTTTCTTTTGTTTACTTACTACTAAAACAAAACAAAGCAAAAAACAACTCCACATGTTACAGTTAGGTCTGGGGAAAGACTGAGACTTAGACAGAGGCTCAGTTGTAGACAGAGGAGAGCCATTTTGCGCATTACTGAGTAATAAAAGATTATCATTTCAAAAGAAAAGTGCTGTTATGTTTCATCTAGGATATTGCTAGCCAATAGGTTAAAATATTATCAAAAAGAACTGTCATTCAAAATGTCTTATTTTACAAATAATGTAGCATCTTTTCATATACTTGTTGGCATCTATTTGTCTTCAGAAAAACATCTATTTAGACCCCTTGCCCATTTGCCCATTTTTAAATAGAGTTGTTTGTTTCTTTGCTACTGAGTTGTGTGAGTTCCTTATATATTGTGGATATTAACCCCTTAGTAGATAAATGGTTTGCAAATATTGTTTCCCATCCTATAGACTGCGTTTTCATTTTTATTTTGTTGTTTCTTTTGCTGAGCCAAAGCTTTTTAGTTTGATATAGTCCCAATTGTCTATTTTTGCTTTTGTTGCTTGTGCTTTTTGTGGCATTTCCAAAAAGTCATCACCAAGGCCAATGTCAAGGAAATTTTACCTTATGTTTTCTTCTAGGAGTTTTTCTAGTTTCAGGTCTTACATAAATATAATAAATCTCTGATCTACTTTGAGTTGACTTTTGTGTACAGTATAATATAGGGGTCTAGTTTTATTCTTTCGTATACAACTATCCAGTTTTCCCAATACCATTTATTGAAGGGACTGTCCTTTTCCCATTGTGTATTTGGCACTCATGTAAAAATTGGTATACCATATATGCTTGGGATTATTTTTAGGCTTTCTATTTTGTTCCATTGGTCTATCTGTCTGTTTTTATGCCAATACCATACTGTTTTGCTTCTGATAGCTTTGTAATATAATTTGAAACCAGGGTGTGTGATGCCTGCATCTCTATTCTTTTTCAAGATTCCTTTGGCTATTCAGGATCTTTTGTGGTTCCTTATGAATTTGAGAAATGTTTGTTCTATTTCCATGAAAAATTTTGTTGGAATTTTGATAGTGATTGCATCGAGTCCATATATTGCTTTAAATAGTATGGACAATTTGAAAATATTGATTTTTTCCAATCCATTAACACAGGGTATCTTTCCATTTATTTTTACTTTCAATTTCTTTCATCAGTGTTTTATGGTTTTCAGTATAAAAAATTCTAACTGATGTGTCACAGACAAATTCTCTGGAGAAATTTGAGGATATTTTGACCTGAATGAAAATAAAAATGCAAATATCCAAATTTGTGGTATGTACCTAAATAACTGCTTAGAGGGAAATTTATAAAATTATCATATTAGAAATTAAGAAAGGTCTCAAATCAATATTTAAAGCTTCCATCTTAAACTAAAAGAGAAGAGCAAAAAAAAAATGCTAAGAAAGCAAAACAGAAGAAATAATAATAGATCAGAACTCAGTAAAATTAAAACAAGATAAAAATAGAGGAAAAAATGACACAAAAGTCCATTCTTTACAAAAAAATACATACTGACCAAGAAAAAAGAGAAGATCCAAATTACCAATATAAAGATTGAAGGAAGGAATATTACTGTAGGCTCTATAAACATTAAAAAGATAACAGAGGAATACTAAAAAAAATTGTATGTCCATAAATTCTATCATTTAGATGAAATCTACAAATTTCTTAAAGGACACAATCTTCCACAAATTACTCAAAAATAGATAACTTGAATTGTCTATATCTACTTAAAAAATTGAATTTGCAATTGAAAAATTTCAAAAAAAGAAAACTTGAAGCCCAATTTGTTACACTAGCAAATTATACTAAACATTAAGAAAAAATTATACCAATTTTATGAAATAGTTACCAGAAAATAAAACACAAGAGAATACTTCACAATTCATTTTATTGTGCTGAGATTATCCTGTTACCAAAATAGGAAAAATATTACAAGAAAAGAAAGCTGGGGACCAATATAGAAGCAAAAATCCTTAACAAAATACTAAATCAAATTCAATGATACAAAAAGGTAATGCGTTATTGTCAATTGAGTGTTGTCCAAAGAATGCAAGATTAGTAAAATATTTGAAAATCAATGTAATTCATGATACTGAGAAAGAAAAATTATGTGTTCATCTTAATAGATTCAGAAAAAGAATTTGGCTTAACTCAATGCTTTTCCATGATAAAAATTATCTGCAAACTGAGAATAAAAAAGAAACTTCCTTAATCTGATAAAAGGCAGCTAAAAAAAGATTAAAATGTCATTTTTAATGGTGAAAGACTGAACGCTTTCTCCTAAAAGCAGGAAAAGGCATGAATGTCTGCTCTCTATTCAACATAATTCTGGAAGTCCCAGTTAATATAATAAATCAGGGGAAGAGAAAGTTACACAGATTGGAAAGAAAAGAGTAACAGTCTTTGTTTCCAACATGATTATTTAAGTAGAAAACATTATGGCATTTACAAAAAAACCCTCATGAAACAAATAAGTAAGCTCTGCCCCAGAATAAAGGATATAGAGTCAATATATTTTTTAAAAAATTATTTCAAATATAGCAATGAACAAATGAAACCAAAATTTTAAGAGTACCAATTAAAACAGCACCAAAAATTGAAATACTTAGTTATAAATATAACAAAATATATTCAGTATTTGTGTGCTGACTACTATAAAACACTGATGGAAGAAATCAAAGACTTAATTAAATTGAGAAATATATGTAAACTGATCAGAAGACTTAATTTTGTTAAAATGTCATTTCTTTTGAAATTGATTTATAGTCAATCTAATATCAGGCAAAAATCTCATCAGAATTTTTAGTCACTGCTAAGTCTTACTATAGTCACAGCATTTAAACTTTTATATGGAATGGTAGATTACTTATAATAGCCAAAGCAATTCTGATCATGAAGAACAAGATTGGAAGACGCATACAAGTCTGGTTTCAAGACTTACTAAGAAGCTATAGAAGTCAATACAGTGTAGTATTGGTGAAATGCTGGACTCACAGATCAAGGGTAGAAAACAGAGTCAGTTCAGAAATAAACCAATAAAAACATGACCAATTCATTTTTGACATATATATAAAGCAATTCAATGAAGAAAAGTGTTTCAATAAATGATGAGGGAACAGTTGGACATACTTGTGGAAAAAAATGTACTTTGACCAGTTCCTCACACCTT